ACTTGGGAGGCTGAGGCAGGAGAATGGTGTGAACCTGGGAGGCGGAGCTTGCAGTGAGCCGAGATCATGCCACTGCACTCCAGCCTGGGCAGCAGAGTGAGACTCCCTCTCAAAAAAAACAAAAAAAAAAAAATGTTTTTCTACATCTTCACCAGCTCTTGTTTTTGGTTTTTTTGGTGGTAGCCATTCTAAAGGGTATGAAGTAGTATCTCATTTGATATGCTTTTCCTAATGATTTGTGACTTTAAGTATCATTTCATGTGCTTACTGGCCATTTGTGTATCTTTGGAGAAATTTCTATTCAAGTATTTTCTCCATTTTTTTTTTCACCCACCCCTCATCTCCATTTTTGAATTGGGTTGTTTTGTTGTTGAGTTTTACAACTTTTCTGTATATTCTGAGTACTAATCCCTTATCAGATATTTTCTCCCATTCTGTGGATCTTTTTACTCTATTCATAGTGTCTGATTAGAAAATTTTAAATTTTCATGAGGTTCAATTTGTCTATGTTTTCTTTTGGTGTCTTTGCCTTTGGTGTCATATCTAAGGAACCATTGCCACCTACCTCTCTAAGAGTTTTTATAGTTTTAGCTCTTACATCTAGGTCTTTGATTCATTTTGAGTCACTTTTTGGAGTTAATTTTTGTATATGGTGTTAGGTAAGGTTCTGGATTCATTGTTTTGCATGTGGATATCCCGTTTTCCTAACACCATTTGTTCAAAAGACTGTCTTTTCCCCATTGGTTGGTCTTGGCACCCCTGTCAAAAATCATTTGAGCATATATGTGAGGGTTTACTTCTGGGCTCCATTTTATTCTATTGGTGTGTATGTCTGTCCTTACACCAATTTCATGCTGTTTTGATTACTGTAGCTTTGTAGTAAGTTTTAACATTAGGAAGTGTGAGACCTTCAACTTTATTCTTTTTCAATATTCTTTTGGCTGTTCAGAGTCCCTTGAGATTCCATATTAATTTTAGAATGAATCTTTATATTTCTGCACAAGATATTATTGGGGTTTTAGTAGGGATTCCATTAAATATATAGATCACTTTGGGTAGTATTGACATCTTAATAATATTAAGTTACCTAATCTGTGAATATGGAATTTCATTCCATTTATTTATGGCATTGTTTTCTTTCATGAGTGTTTTGTAGTTTTCATTGTACAAGTTTTCACCTCCTTGGTTAATTCCTAAGCATTTTATTACTTTTGATGCTAATGTAAATGGAACTGTTTTCATGATTTCCTTTTCAGATTGTTCATTGTTAGTGTATGGAAATGTAAGTCATTTTTCTGTGTTGATTTTTTTATCCTGCTAGTTTGCTGAATTCATTTATTAATTTTAACAGTCTTTTTGTGTGTGTGTGTGAAAACTTTAGAATTATCTACATGTAATATCACCTGTGATCAGAAATAATTTTACTTCTTCCTTTTCCAATTTGGCTGCCTTTTACTTCTTTTCTTCCATAGTTACTCTGGCTAGGACTTAGAGTATGTTGAACAGAAACAGAGAAAGAGGACATCTTTGCCTTGTTCCTGATCAGAAAGTGTTTGGTTTTTCACCATTGAGAATGATGTTAGCTATGGGTTTTTTATATATGGCTTTTATTACATTGACATAGTTTCCTTTTATTTCATTTTTTGTTTGTTTTTTTTTTTTTTTTACATGAAATGGTATTGAATTTTTGTCAAATGCTTTTTCTGCATCAAAAGAGGTGATTTTTTTTTTCCTTTATTCTGTTACTATGGAATAGTATATTGATTGTTTTTCATGTGTTGAACCATCCTTGCATTCTAGGAATAAATCCCACTTGGACATGGTGTATAATCCTTTTAACATGCTGCTTAATTTGGCTTGCTAATATTTGATTGAGGATTTTGGCATCAATGTTCATAAGGGATATTGGTCTGTAGTTTTCTTATGTTTGTCTGGCTTTGGCATCAGGGCAATTCTGGCTTCATAAAATGAGTTAGGAAGTGTTCTCTCCTCCCATTTTGTGGAAAATTTTAAGAAGGATTGGTGTTAGTTCTTTAAGTGTATAGTAGTATTCACCAGATAAGCTGTCAGGTCAGGGCTTTTGTGTTTTTCTTGTTGGGAGGTTTTTGATTCTCTGTCTTTAGTGTTGATAGGCCTATTCAAATTTTTCTTTTTTATTTTCTTTTTCTTCTTCCTCTTCTTCTCATTCTTCTTCCTCTTCCTCTCCTTCCTCTCCTTCCTATTCCTCCTCTTCATCATTGAGAGAGAGAGAGAGTGAGAGAGAGAGAGAGTCTCGCTTTGTCACCCAGGCTGGAGTGTGGTGGCAAGATCATGGCTCACTGCAGCCTCAACCTGCTGGGCTCAACGATCCTCCCACTTCAGCTTCCTGAGTAGCTGGGACTACAGGCATGCACCATCATATCCAGCTAATTTTTATTTTTATAGAGACAGGGTCTACCTATGTTGCCCAGGCCAGTCTCAAACTCCTAGGCTTAAGCATCCTCCTGCTTTGGTCTCCCAAAGTGCTAGGGTCACTGGCATGAGCCATGGTACTCAGCCTTTTAGTTTTTCATGATTCAGTCTTGGTAGATTTTGTGTTTCACAGAATATATCCATTCTAGGTCATCCAGTTTGTTGGCATACAATTGTTCATAGCTCTCTTGGAATTTTTTTTTATTTATATAGACTCTATCATAGTGTCTTCATTTTAATTTCTAATTTTATTAATTTGAATCTTCTTTTTTAGTCATTTCTAACTAAAATTTCTCTATTGCTTTTATATTCTCTAGTTATCTCTGCTCTAATCTTTATTATTTCCTTCCTCCTGCTAGCTTTTTGGTTTAGTGTTTTTGTTTGTTTTTTTTTTGTTTGTTTGTTTTTTGTTTTTTTTTTTTTTGAGACAGAGCCTTGCTCTGTTGCCCAGGCTGGAGTGCAGTGGCACGATCTTGGCTCACAGCAACCTCCGCCTCCCAGGTTCAAGCGATTCTCCTGCCTCAGCCTCCTGAGTAGCTGGGATTACAGGTGCGTGCCACCATGCCCGGCTAATTTTTGTATTTTTAGTAGAGACAGGGTTTCACCATGTTGGTCACACTGGTCTCGAACTCCTGACCTCATGATCTACCCGCCTTGGCCTTCCAAAGTGCTGGGATTACAGGCCTGAGCTACCGCACCTGGCCTATTGTTCTTAAGTTTCTTAAGTTACAAAGTTTTTCTTAAGTTTTTTTAAGTTGTAAAGTTAGATTTTTGATTTGAGATCTTTCTTCTGTTTTAATATAATCTTTGTAGCTATAAATTTCTTCCTTAGGCACTGCTTTTGTTGTATCCTACAAGTTTTTGTATATTGTTTTCATTTTCTTTCATCTCTATTTTATAATTTCCTTTGTGATTTCTTTGATAAAATGATTATTTAAGAGTGTCATTTACTTTCTACAAATTTGTGAATTTTCATGTTTTCTTAACTTTATCCTCTTGTGATCAGGGAAGATATTTTATATGATATATATCTTTTTAAATCTATTGATCCTTAATTTATGGCCTAACGTGGTCTATTTTGGAGCATATCCCATGTGCAAGTGTATTCTATTGTTATAGTGTATTCTATATATTTTCTTTTAGATCTAATTGGCTTATTGTATTGTTCAAGTCCTCTGTTTCCTTATTGGCCTTCTGATCGTTTTATTTATTATTGAGAGTGGGTTATTGAAGTCTCTATTGTTGTAGAACTGTCTATTCTGTTAATTCTGTCCATTTTTGCTTCGTATATTTTGATGGTCTGTTATTAGGTATATAAATGCTTATAATTGTTATATGTCCTTGCTGTCTTGAATCTTTTCTTAATATGTAATGTCTCTCTTTGTCTTATGGAACCTCATTTTGATTTAAGGTCTATTTTGTTTGATACCAGTATGTCCATCCCTGCTTTCTTTTGGTTACTATTTGCATGGAATATCTTTTTCCATTCTTTTACTTTCAATCTATTTGTGTCTTTGGATCTAAAGTGAAACTTAGTAGACAGCATATAGTTGGATCATGGGTGTTTTTTGTTGTTGTTATTTGTTTTTTAACCCATTCTTCCAGTTACTGTGTTTTGCTCTGAGGATTTAATCCAGTTATATTTAAAGTAATTACTGATAAGGAGGGACTTACTTCAGTCATTTTGCTATTTATTTTCTATGTGATTTTAGCTTTTTTTGTCCCTTATTTCCTATATTACTCTCTATTTTGTGTGTTTGATTTTTCTTTTTTTTTTTTTTTTTTTTTTTTTTTTTTGAGACGGAGTCTCGCTCTGTAGCCAGGCTGGAGTGCAGTGGCCGATCTCAGCTCACTGCAAGCTCCGCCTCCGGTTCCCATCTCTGCTCGCCCAGTACTGGACTACGGCTGCCTCGCCGCTTTTTTTGTATTTTTTAGAGACGGGTTTACCGTTTAGATGTTCTTCTTTATTGCTTCGGCTCCATGTTTACAGGTTGAGTGGCTTTTTTTTTTTTTTTTTTTTTTTTTTTTTTGAGACGGAGTCTCGCTCTGTCGCCCAGGCTGGAGTGCAGTGGCCAGATCTCAGCTCACTGCAAGCTCCGCCTCCCGGGTTCCCGCTATTCTCCTGCCTCAGCCTCCCGAGTAGCTGGGACCACAGGCGCCGCCACCTTGCCCGGCTAATTTTTTGTGTTTTTAGTAGAGACGGGGTTTCGCCGTGTTAGCCAGGATGGTCTCGATCTCCTGACCTTGTGATCCACCCGTCTCGGCCTCCCAAAGTGCTGGGATTACAGGCTTGAGCCACCGCGCCCGGCCTGATTTTTCAAATGTGAAACATTTTAATTTCATTCTCATTTCATTTTGTGTATATTCCATAACGATTTTCTTTGTGGTTACCACGGAGATTACATTTCACATCCTAGATTTGTAATACTCTGATTTGAACTTTTACCAGCTTACCATTAATGACACAGAAAAACTCTGATCTTACACAACTCCATCCCCAACACTTGTAGATAGTAATGGCATAAAATTACCTCTTTATACATTGTGTGTCCAAAAACATAGATTAATAATTTTTTAATGCATCATCTCTTAAATCACATAAAAAACAAAAAGTGGAGTACAAACCAAAGTTACAATAATATGAACTTTAAAATTTTCCCAGGTAGTTGCCTTTACTAGGGATCCTTATTTCTTCTCATGGCACTGAGTTATTGTCTAATGTCCTTTCATTTCAACTGAAAGGTCTCCCTTTAGCATTTCTTGCAGAGCAGTTCTCTTGGTAACACATTCCCTCAATTGGGAAGGTCTTCACTTCTCCCTCAGTTTTGGTGGATAGTTTTGTCAGATTTAGGAGTCTTGGTTGTCAGTTCTTTTCTTTTAGCACTTTGAACATGTCAGCCCACTGCCTTCTGCCTTCTGCCCTCTAAGGTTTCTGATGATAAATCTGATAATCTTAGTGAGTATCCCTTGAATGTAATGAGTCACTTCTTTTTTGCTGCTTTCAGTATTTTCTTTATGTCTCTGTCTGACAGTTTGATTATAATGTGTCTCAGCATGAGTCTCTTTGAATTCATCCTTTTTGGAGCTCATTGAGCTTCTTGGGTGTTTATATTTATGTCTTTTTACATCTGTGTAGTGTGGGTACAAAAAAAAAAGTCTTTCATCAAATTTGGGTAGTTTTGGCCATTTCTTAAAAAGTCCCTCTTCCTCCTTGTTTCTCTCTTTCCTCTGGCACTCCCACCTTTTCTTCTATTAGTTGCATGTGGGTTTTTGTCTGTTACAAATTAAGCTACTGTAACCATTAGTATATAGGTCTTTGTGTGGAAATATTCTTTCTCTTCTCTTGTGTTATTATCTAAAAGTGCAATGCCTTTGTTGCAGGGTAGGTGAATATTTTACATTTTAGGAAACTGCCAAATTGTGTTCTAAAATTGTTATGCCATTTTACATCCCCTGGGATGTAAAATTTAAAATAAATATAGGGATGTATATTTATTTAAAATTTATTAAAATATTAAATATTAAAAATTTAAAAATAAATATAGGGATATACATTTATTTTTCTTAAATGAACTTTAGTGGTTTGTGTCTTCAAAGAGAGTTTGTTCATTTAATTTTATTTACCAGATTTATTGGCATAAATGGTATAATTCCCCATGAAATTGCATCCCCGATTGTGAGCAAGAGTTCCAGTTTTGTCACATAATCACCAACAATTGCTATGATCTGTGTTTTTAATGTTCATAATGCTACTAGGGATGGAGTAATAATACCTCATTGTAGTTTTAACTTGCATTTCTCTAAGGGTTTATGATTTTGAGCATATTTTAAATCATGTTTTTATTTGCCACCCATATAACTTCTATGGTAAAATGTCTACTCATATCTCTTGCCTATTTTAAAAGTAAATATTAGTTGATATTGAACTAGTAAAGACATTTTTTGGAACTGCAGTTATTCATCGATAAGTAACTACAGTGATTTATTTGTTTTATAGGGTAATTTTGAATATTGGAAGAATATTTCCTCAAAATTTTATGCTGTTCACAGTGGAAAACTAGAGACATGAAACACTTTTAAGTTTAATCTGAATGATTAACATATTCTTTACTTTTTTAAGTCTACATGGCCAATAAAACAACAGATCAAGTTCTGGTTTGTAGTGTTTACCAATACCCTAGGTGTAAATACTTCTGTCTTGGCCAATTTCAAGCTACAACACAATGTCTCTGAATATGGAGTTGGGAAGACACGTGCAATAGCACACCATTGTATTCTGTTTCCACTGAATAGATGCAATAAATGTAAATAACCTCTAAAGCATAGAAAATAGTAAAATAATTAGGAAATGAGGATTTTTAAAGGTTTTTTTTTTTTTTTTAAAAGAAAAACAGCTTTATTGAAGTTTAAACTACACATATTTAACATGTACAAGTTTTGGTACATGTTTATAGCCATGAAATTAAGGTTTTCTTGGGCCCTCTGTAATCTCTTCCTCCTTACCCACCTACTCATCTTTAGGAAACCACTGATCTGCTTTCTGTCACTCTACATTTGTTTACATATTTTAGAATATTACATTAATCTGGGGGCAGCTTAGGTAGGTCTGGGTTGAGAATCCCCCATGAAATTGCAGTTAAGCTGTCTCTGGAGCTACAGTCTTGGGAGACTTGCTAAAGGCTGGAAGATTCAATTCTAATCTCTTTTCCATGGCAGTTGACAGGAAGTTTTAGTTCCTTGCCACATGGGTCTCTCCATAGGGATGCTCATCACATGGATTCTTTCAAACACAGAAAGTGATCCAAGAGTAGGAGAGTCTTCCCAAGAAGGAGACCAGTGTCCTTGATAACCTAAAATTGGAAGTTATATGTCCTCACTTTTTCTGTTTTATGTGGGCTTTACAGATCAACCTTTGTAAAATGTGCGAGGGGTACCCAAGGGTAAGAATTCCAGGAAGTAGAGATTTGGGGTTCTTTTTAGAGTTTACCTGCTACAATCACATTTTACCTTGTTTTAAAGTCTTTTTTTTTTTTTTTGAGACAGAGTTTCAGTTTTGTTGCCCAGGCTGGAATGCAATGGCATGGTCTCGGCTCACCGCAACCTCCGCCTCCCAGGTTCAAGTGATTCTCCTGCCTCAGCCTCCTGAGTAGCTGGGATTACAGGCATGCACCACCACACCCGGCTAATTTTGTATTTTTAGTAGAGACAGCATTTCTCCATATTGGTCTCAAACTCCCTACCTCAGGTGATCCACCCGCCTCAGCCTCCCAAAGTGCTGGGATTATAGGCGTGAGCCACCGCACCTGGCCTTAAAGTCTTTTAATGGTAAATTAAAGATTAAAAATTAAATGAAGATTCTTATGTTTTCTGAATTATATGATGAATTATAAGAAAGATGAGAATAGGCCTACCAATATTCTTCACATTTGAAGGTTTCCTACCAGCATAAATTCCCTGATGTTCAACAATGTTTGAGCCATACACGAAGTACTTCCCACATTCCTCAAACTCTTAGGGTATAACACCCATATGCTTTCTCAGATGCACTTTAAGGGCTGAACTGTATCTAAAGGTCTTCCCACATATTTTACATTTAAAGGGTTTCTCACCAGTGTGTACCCGCTGATGTTCGGTAAGGAATGAATTAAGTCTAAATGCCTTCCCACATTCCTTACATTCAAAAGGTTTCTCACCAGTGTGAACACTCTGATGTCCAATAAGTTGTCCATAAACGGTAAAGGCTTTCCCACATTTGTTACATTCATAGGGTTTCTCCCCAGTATGAATTCTTTGATGCTGAACAAGGTATGAGCCAGAACTGAAGGCCTTGCCACACTCCTTACACTCATAGGGCTTCTTACCAGTATGGATTCTGCCATGTTGTACAAGGTACGAGGCTCGACTAAAAGTCTTTCCACATTCCTTACATTCGTAGGGCTTTACATCAGTATGAATTTTCCGATGCTGTGTGAGATGTACGTGCACTCTGAAGGCCTTGCCACATTCCTTACACTCATAGGGTTTCTCTCCAGTATGAACCCTTTGATGTACAGTAAGCTGATGGCGACTAATAAAGGCTTTCCCACATTCCTTACATTCATGGGGTTTCTCCCCAGTATGAATCCTCTGATGCTGAACAAGGTATGAGCCAGTACTAAAGGCCTTGCCACACTCCTTACATTCATAGGGCTTCTCGCCAGTGTGAAGTCTTCCATGTTGAACAAGATACGAGGCACGACTGAAGGTCTTCCCACATTCCTTGCATCCATAGGGCTTTATCCCTGCGTGAATTCGCTGATGTGCATGAAGGAAGGAACTAAGTCTAAAGGCCTTTCCACATTCCTTACATTCAAAAGGCTTCTCACCAGTATGAATACTCTGATGTCGAGTAAGCTGTCCATACACAGTGAAAGCCTTCCCACACTCCTTACATTCATAGGGTTTCTCGCCGGTATGAATTCTCTGATGCTTAGCAAGGGGTGAGCTAGTACTAAAGGCCTTCCCACATTCTTTGCATTCATAGGGTTTTTCACCAGTATGAATTCGCTGATGTTGAATCAGGTATGAAAAGGTACTGAAGGCCTTCCCACACTCCTCACACACAAAGGGTTTTTCACCAGTGTGAATACTCTGATGCCGGGTAAGCTTTCCATATGCTAGAAAAGCTTTCCCACATTCTCCACACTCATATGGTTTCTTCCCAGTATGAATACTCTCATGTACTGTAAGTTGATAGTTACCGCTAAAAGTCTTTTCACATCGCTTACATTTGAGTGACTTCTCACCAGTGTGAATTCTCCTATGCTTAACAAAGGCTGAACCTCTGATAAAGGCCTTCCCACATTTCTCACATTTGTAGGGTTTCTCATCAACATACAATCTCTGATGTATGGTGAGTTGATGTCCATTACTAAAGTTCTTCCCACATTCTTTACATCTGTTGGGTTTTTCACTACTATGTATTCTTTCATGTTGAACAGGCTTTGAGTCTTGACAAAGAGTCTTTCCATATTCCCGACATTCACGTGGTTTCTGTCTACTAATTTTCTGATGTGGGGCAAAAGATGGACAGTTTTCAGAAGGGAGCATTTCTTTACGGCCAATTGTATCATCTTCCAACTGCAAATCTGAAAGAAAAATTTTAAAAATATCTTATTGTTCTATATGAAAAAAAATTCTAGAGAAGAGAAAAACTGAAAATAACACTAACTAGAAATAAATAGCTCAGTAATATTAAAATACCATTATGAAATTCAAAAAACAGAAGGAATACAGAGATTAACAAGTGTTTATGTAAAATAGTAAGGTTGGTGATTAGTGACACAGTTTTTATTTAGGTGTGCATAAAAATCTTTGAAGAGCCTGTTAAAAAATGGATGTTCAAGCAGCATCCAGGCCCTCTGAATCAGATACAGGGGACGTTCCTGGGCATCAGTACTATCAACCTTTCTAACAAATGTTTCTGATGCAGATGAAATTTTTATAATCCATATTTTATTGTTCCTTCTGGGGGTTTCTTGTGGCACTGACATTAAAATCCATGTATCTTTCCACAAATAATATGGTCCCTGTTCACCTCTCACGCCTCACATCAAGACACAGCTCCCTCTGTCCCATACTGACCTAATTTCCCCCTTTTAGCACCTTGACGTTCTTACAAATTTTCTCACCTTTTGGTTCCATGTGCACGTGGCATCATTGCCTAAAAATCTTCTGGCATGTTTTGTTTGTAGACTGGAGCTTTCTTATCCTATCCGTGTTTAAAATAAAATGTCACTTTATCAGGAATATGGTAAACTGCCAACTTTGTCTAAGGATGTCCATGTCTTTATTTTCCAGCACTTCATTCCTTGGTTTCCTGCTGGTTTTCTTTTTCTTTTTTTCTTTTTTGAGACAGGATCTCACTCTTGCCCAGGCTGGAGTGCAGTGGCACAACCACAGCTCAATGCAGCCTCAAACTCCCAGGCTCAGGTGATTCCCTCCTACCTCAGCCTCCTGGGTAGCTGGGACTACAGGTATGTGCCGCCATGCCCAGCTAATGTTTTTGTAATTTTTATAGAGATGGGGTCTCGTCACATTGCCCAGGCTGGTCTCCAACCCCTAGGCTCAAGTCATCCTCCCACCTCACCTCCCAAAGTCCTGGGATTACAGGCATGAGCCACTGAGTCCAGCCTCCTATACAAAAGAAATAATAGTAATAAAATATCTCCATGCAAAGAATGATATTTTATAATTCCAATGACAATTATCATTTGTTGTTAAAACCATGACAAGACATATTGCTAAACTGAAGAAATGCATACTCCTTGAGAATAAAGTAAGATCACACAGATTATTGTTTAGTCACAAGGAGAAACATGTAACTCAATAATGTGGGCTTGGACCATTATCACTGTAATCTAGTAGACAGTCTTTTAATGAGGAGCACAGCCAGACGTTAGATGTCTCCCGATAAGATACACATTGCCTCCTTTGATATATTCAGACAAAACTGTTTATCACCTTTTAAAATATTACCATATTATTTGATAAGCCCATAGGACAAGATCACCGGGGTGGCCACTAAAGTACTGGGTTTGTACACAAAAACCAACTGCAAAATTGGATTGGATGTTATCTCACTGAACTCAATACTTGCCTTTAGGACGGTTCCCGTTATCTCCTAGGATCACTGTGGCCCATTCATCCCCCTTGTCAGAAAAAGAAACCTTTAGATAACTTAATTCAAAGAGGAGAAAAACTGGACCTTAGTTTGTGTCAAAAAACTTCAGTCAGGCTGCGTGCAGTGGCTCACACCTGTAATCCCAGCACTTTGGGAAACCGGCGGGCAGATCATGAGGTCAGGAGTTCAAGACCAGCCTGGCCAACATGGCGAAACCCTGTCTATACTAAAAATACAAAAATTAGCTGGGCATGGTGGCAGGCACTTGTAATCCCAGCTATTTGGGAGGCTGAGGCAGAAGAATCGCTTGAACCCAGGAGGTGGAGGCTGCAGTAAGCCAAGATTGTGCCATTGCACTCCAGCCTGGACAACAGAGTGAGACTCCATCTCAAAAACAAAACAAAACAAAACAAAACTTCAGTCACCACTGAAAGAGAACTTTGGACTGTTTTTTTCTACCTCCGAGCCTTTTAATGTCAGGCTACACAAAAGGACCCTCAAAATGGGGAGAACCATATTTGCCCTGTAATCCAGATAACAGATCTGGACAATGTCACAAAGACACAAATTCATGTCCATGAAACTCAATAGGCAACTGGTTCAAAATACATTGTTTAGAAAAAGTACCTTGCCTTCCAAGCAAGAAACATTATTCTTATGAGAAGAATGTTGTACTCGCATCTTTAAAGACCTCTGAAATCTTTAAAAACTCTAAAATGATTTAGGAAAGAAATAAGAAATCACGAAATTAGATAATTGGGACAATTCTTCTATATCTGGTTCTGTAGGCTCTTTGGATTAGGGATGGGATCTGTCCATGTGGTTGCATTTGGGTATAAGTCTTTGATCCTGGCTTAGAAGTGAACTATAAATTCTGACCGTAGCCATTCTCTTAGGATTTGTCTATACTCTAGGGTTCAAATGCCTAGAGTCATAAATGCTATTGTGCAACCATTTTCTCATCAAATGATCCAAATGATACTCAATTTTGTTTTTTTGAGACGGAGTCTTGCTCTGTCGCCCAGGCTGGAGTGCAGTGGCACGATCTCAGCTCATTGCAAGCTCCACCTCCCGGCTTCACACCATTCTCCTGCCTCAGCCTCCCGAGTAGCTGGGACTACAGGCTTCCGCCACCACGCCTGGCTAGTTTTTTGTATTTTTAGTAGAGACGGGGTTTCCCCATGTTGGCCAGGATGGTCTCGATCTCGTGACCTCGTGATCCGTCCGCCTTGGCCTCTCAAAGTGCTGAGATTACAGGCGTGAGCCGCCGTGCTTGGCCTGTTTTTTTTTTTTTTTAAGACAGAGTCTCGCTCTGTCACCCAGGCTGGAGTGCGGTGTGGCTATGTCAGCTTAGTGCAACCTCCACCTCCCTGGTTCAAGTGATTCTCCTGCCTCAGCCGCTCGAGTAGCTGGGATTACAGGCATGCACCACCATGCCCAGCTAAGTTTTGTATTTTTAGTAGAGACATTTCACCATGTTGGCCAGGCTGGTGTCAAACTCCTGACCTCAGGTGATCTGCCTGTCTCGGCCTCCCAAAGAGCTGGGATTACAGGTGTGTGCCATCATGTTCAACTCCAAATGATACTCTAAATAAAAGAATAGAAAAAAAACTTTTGGAGGTTGAAATGACATAGTTGTGTACATTTGGATAATCATGGCCCCAAGAAGATAACAGCCTATTCTACAGACAAGGCTGAAGCATGACCAAAAAGGAGACAGGGCACATTGAGAACAGAAATCAATGAAATTCCCTATCTCTGTGCTAAAGAAAACTGAGACCAGCATACCTCCCTGAACCTGTCTTAACCTTCAATATTCTCTCAGGGCCCACGGGATCAATTTTTAGGTTTTGAGTTTCTTTTTCAAGCAGTTCTATTTCTAAGAATTAGCATTTCATGACTTTTAGTCTTTCTTAAAGGCCTTCAAAAGAACAAAGAGAAAATTTACTTATTTTCAAAATACACTAAATTTCATTCAATTTTACAATTAGAGCTCTACTACACCTTTTTATAAAACTACAATCTACTATGAGACAGTAATCTTATTTATTCCAGTAAGAATCATGTGTAAGAATAAGTTTCCTGGGAACATTTTTCTGTATCATCATCCTGAGAGTTATTTCATCATTATTTGTCAATTATGCCCAAGCATGTGAAAACAGAAAGACTAAATAAGAAAGTGGATGAATGATGGCACTGCCTAGAAAGATGATGCAGTAGTGAAATAAATCAATGATGAACCATCCTTCCATATCCTCACTGTGTTGCTCAAAAACCTGCAGTGCCTTTGAAAGCTTGAAAAAGTCTGGACACATCACCTGCATGTCTTTTTTAAAAAAAAGTAGCTTTTAGACTAGGCACGGTGGCTTACGCCAGTAATCCCAGCCATTTGGGAAGCCAAGGAGGGTGGATCAGTTGAGGTCAGGAGTTTGAGACCAGCCTGGCCAACATGGTGAAACCCTGTCTCTACTAAAAATACAAAAGTTAGGCCGGACACGGTGGTTCACGCCTGTAATCCTAGCACTTTGGGAGGTCAAGGAGGGTGGATCACCAGGTCAGGAGTTCAAGACCAGCCTGGCCAACATGGTGAAACCCCATCTCTACTAAAAATACAAAAATTAGCTTGGTGTGGTGATGGGCGCCTGTAATCCCAGCTACTCAGGAGGCTGAGGCAGGAGAATTGCTTGAACCCGAGAGGCAGAGGTTGCAATGTGCTGAGATTGTGCCACTGTAGTCTAGCCTGAGTGACAGAGCAAGACTCTGTCAAAAAAAAAAAAAAAGTTAGCCCGATGTGGTGGCAGGTGCCTGTAGTCCCAGCTACTGGGGAGGCTGGGGCAGAAGAATTGCTTGAACCTGGGAGGTGAAGGTTGCAGTGAGCTGAGATCACACCACTGCACTCCAGCCTTGGTGACAGAACAAGACTCTGTCTCCAAAAAAAAAAAAAAAAAGAAAAGAAAATTTAACTTTTATTGAACACTGTTGAGAATTCAAAAATTTCATTATCTACCCATAGGAACAAAGATTAGCAAGCTGACAAAGGAAGACATGTCATAAATATCAGACAAATCAGAAGATAAATATGAAAATAAAGGAAGCAGCATTCTAGACCTTCACTGCCTCGTCTGGGGCCCACGAGCCACAGGCCTAGACCAAATTGAGATGTTCTGTGAAACATCCACACCAGATCTCAACCACTTACTAAAAGGAAAATAATTATATAGTGATTATGTATTAAAATGATATTTGGAATATACTGAAATGAAATATGTTATTAAAATTAACTTTACCATCTTCCTTTTCCTTTTTATTAATATATGTGGCTACTAGAAATTTTAAAATTATATTTGTGGCTTGCATCATATTTCTATTGGAAGTGCTGTTCTAGATGACAAAAGGATACCTGGTGCATTGTCTTACTAATCCACATTATTTATTTTTAAAAATAAAGACACTGGCCGGGTGTAGTGGCTCACCCCTGTAATCCCAGCACTTTGGGAGGCCGAGGCGGGTGGATCACTTGAGGTCAGGAGTTCAAGACCAGCCTGGCCAACATGGTGAAACCCTGTCTCTATTAAAAATACAAAATTATCTGGTGTGGTGGTGTATGCCTGTAATCCCAGCTACTCTGGAGGCTAAGGCAGGAGAATTTCTTGAACCTGGGAGGCAGAGGTTGCAGTGAGCTGAGATTGCGCCACTGCACTCCAGCCTGGGCGACAGAGCAAGACTCCATCTGAAAGGAAGAGAGGAGAGGAGAGGGGAGGGGAGGGGAGGGGAGGGGAGAGAAGGGCAGGGGAGGGGAGGAGAGGCCAGGGGAGGGGAGGGGAGGAGAGGGGAGGGAAGAGGAGACACTGATAGCTAAGTTGCATGTGGACTGAGTGGAACTCTATAAGTACCTGATGGGAACTCCATACTCTGAGCTTCCCTAAATGTAGAATCTCTTAAATGGCATGCCTTCTGTGGGGACCCTGGAAACCATGCCCATGGAATTGCTACGGGTACTGAGTTCTGTGAAATGCTTGTATCTTCTTTAAGTCGTGGCAGCTTGCAAACTCACCTGGTGTGTGTCTCGTCTATCTGCGCCTTACTTT